TTTGGGATGTCCCGGTCAATATAGATACATAATCATAAACAGAACTTACATTATTTTACACTAATGATTTACATCTCTTTTAATCTCTCATGAAATATATCTTCGTATCGATACCTGTGATACAAAGAAAACTGAGTTGGTCAGACTTGGGAGCCTAGTGAGCATATAGGGTTTTCAACCCACAATAATATAATTATTATAATCATTCATCAAACAATCAACCCAATTACCCATCCCCATTATCTCCTTTATATATCAAGGATTTACCCTAAGAATCAACTATCCTTCACTCATTCATTCCTAAGGATTGGCCTAAGGAATTAGCACAAAGTTCATTGTTGTCTGTGGTTCATACATCTGGTGAACATGTAATTCAAAACATTCGGCGAACACTTAGTTCTAAATTACCTAGTGAACACACATAGTTCAACAACACCAAGTGAACACATCTAGTTCAAAAATGCCTAATGAACATATTGAGTTCAAAAATACTAAGTGAACACATAGAGTTCAAAAATACCTAATGAACATGTTAAGTTCAAAAATACCTAATGAACACATTGAGTTCAAATATACCAAGTGAACACATAGAGTTCAAAAATACCTAATGAACACATTGAGTTCAAAAATACCAAGGGAACACAGAGTTCAAAAATACCTAATGAACACGTTGAGTTCAAAAATACCTACAGGTTACGAACCTGTTAACTTTTCATTGGATTGTCTAGATAGTCTGTGGTCACCATCTCTATTCCACTAGTTAACTAGAACATTGATATCATAAAAATTTCTTATCATTTCGTCTCATATCAACTATTTCATCTACCCATGTCCTACCTAACATATTTGTAGATGTAAATACATATACAGTTTAAACCATTTAAAAACCTATATAAAACATTCATTCAACATCTATTTCAAGTAAACAAACAATGTATAAACATATAGCACATATTTCATAGCAAATACTTCATATCTATGTGTTAGAAGAAAGTAACTACACACTTACGTGATAAGATGATGATCGGACAACACTATGGCTCTTTATAGTAATATTCTTTGATGAAACTGGAATATCTTCACACATCGGGCTTCTCGCGGGCAGAGCTTCGGCTCGACGACTCTGTTTCTCGGGATCTTCGGAGCGTTGGGACTCGCTTCGGGTATCGGGGTTTGTATCGGGGCTTCATGGGTTAAAAGAAAGCTTAAAGATGAGTACAGTAGGAGAGAGGTTGAGAAATTAGCAACCAAACCCGGTTGCCTTCGGTTTCTATTTATAGGGTTGAAATTTCATATTTCACGTCGTGAACCACTTGTTCACGTTGTGACCTTGGACGTCATCAGGTGCGTAGTCGCGATGTTCAGTCTGTCAGGCTCCAGAAGACGTCAGTGCTGAGTTCACGTCGTGAACTCTGACACGTTGTTGGGGTTCGCACCCCGAACTTCAGAAATTCATAACTTTCGCATACGAGCTCCGTTTTCGAAGTTCTTCATATCCACGCGTAGGTGAGATTATGCTCTACAACTTTCGTTTAGACTCTGTCGGCTAATTTTGACTTTAATTTTTATTATATTTATTTTTAGTAGACCGGGACAAGAAAACTCTGTTATAAACTCATAACTTCTTCATCCGACGTTCGTTTTCGTCTGTCTTTTTACCGTTGGACTACTATCGACGAGATCTTCGATTCTTGTTTATATTGTTTCAACCAGAAACCACTTGATCCCATATTTGAACTTTGGGCTGCATATTGCTAAGCTGAAACTTAGAACAATCATAATTTCATCATACGAAGTCAGATTTAGACATTCTTTTTATGCACGCTCTTGGTTTAACGTATTCTACAACTTTCGTTTAGATCGCTAAGGCCAAATATCACTCTATCGTAAATTCACTATTTACGTCGCGTTGTGTTGTGCTTATTTTGTCGCAAAACTTCGACATGTCATAACTTCTTCGTTATAACTCAGATTTCGACATTCTTTATATATCCGGGATCCTTCTCACGACCACTACAACTTTGTTAAGATTATTCATTCTAATTAATCTTCTATCAAAAAGTTATTTTTGATGCTTATTGTCTCTAAATTGACTAGCCCTGATCTACGGGCGTTACATAACCCCCAGGTCTCACTACAATACTTTAACCAAATGGGTCAGCGTTGGTGACTTCGACCCATATAACAGTGAGGAGACTCACCTCGAATGCTGAAGCCTACTGCAAGAAATCCTTAGTTGCTGCCCAGACAAATCCTCAAGCTAACAATACCAAAATATCACCCAATTAGCAATTGGGTCCCAAACCATGATCCATAATCCATACTTGGGGTAAAATAACCATTTTACCCCTGGCCCAACAAGATTCATAACCAAGGCCCAAGCCCTAAATCCAAAAATATCCAAAACCACAAAATCCATGAAAGCCCACTAATGGCCCAATTTTCCAAATTGGGCCCAATCCCAATCGGGCCTTATCCTAAGCTCATATTTTCCAATTTAGATTTCTTCAAACACCCATTGGGACAAACTTGATCAAAGACTAAGTCAAAAGTCAAAGTCAAGGACCTGAGTTGAACCAACTCGTAGAGTTTTATCCTACAACTCGTCAAGTTCCTCTGACAACCGCAAAGTCGGGAAGAAACTGGTCCAACTCGTCGAGTTGTCTAATCAACTTGCCGAGTTGACCCACACCAACTCAGAATCGAGGAAAACCAAAACAGCTCGCCGAGTTGGCTATCCAACTCGTCGAGTTCGCCCGAGACCAAACAACTCAACCCATTAAGCTGACATATTCGAAACTAATAACTTATCCCACTCAGATCTTGACTGAAATGGTCTTAAGAAGGGTAAAGTTTCCAAATTTACCCCTAAGAACCACCAAAATGGGTTCAAAACCCAAACCCTAAACTCAAAAGGGTAAGGAATTAATCATTAAGCACTTATTCGACAAGGACACAACTCCAAGATACAGATCTGACCATATGAGGCTAGATGGCCATGTAAGGTTTCCAACTTTACACTTATTCATGCTTAGAAGAAGCTTAAAAGTGACCAAAAGAAGGATTAATGAATACAGGAAGCCCTTAGGATCATAAAGTTGGCACCTTTATGCCAAACGAGCTCATGAAGATCATAGATCTGGAAAGATAAACACTTGGGACTTCTACTTCCTCAACAATCACCCAACCATGGCTAAAAGCATATAAATAAATCCAAGAAGAGATCTAAGCCAATACTAAGCAAGGCTAAAACTTTATACCCAAAATGAGCTAGAAATGGGGTAGAGAATCAAGATCTATGAGCTCCTTCTTGAACCACCACCTTGCACCAAGCTTCTCCTCCTTGAATGAGCTTCAAACACACACCAAGACACACACACGCCACTCTTTTAGGATGTAGGGTTTCGAGATTAGGGTTAGGGGCTATGGAGGCTAGGAATGAGGCCAACACCTGGAACTTAAGGTGTTCAAATATGGTGTAAAAACCAAAAATTATGGTTTCCTAAACAGCATCCAACTCGCCAAGTTCCCTTCACCAACTCGACGGGTTGGTCCTTAAAAACACGTGCCCCAAAAATTTCCAACACATCGAGTTTATGTCAAAAACTCGACGAGTTGGCCCCTATAAAAGGAATTTATTTCCATAATTTGACCTTCTAGATTCCGGAAGTTACACTCCATGATAGGATAACTTTTTGATTAAGTTTTTTGGTAAATTAAAAATAATAAATACTCCATATGTCCCAACAAAATGGTTAAATAAGCTTTTGGTATTTGTTGAAAGCTATGAACATCACTAAAAAATGAAAAGGCTCTTCCCAAAAGCTTGTTAACTAAGAGTATTCACAATAGGTGTTTTCTCAAGAGTTTTTTAAAAAAAAAAAAAAAAAAAAAATTATAGTGAGATTTTTTAATTCAAAGGTTTTTGATTAAGCTTTGTTAAAAGCTCTCGCCAAAAGCTTTTTCTTTTCTTTAGAGAGATCCATAAATCTTTGACAAACTAAAAGTAAATAACCTTTAAAAATTACTAATAAAAAAAATATGGATGCTCTAACAAGTCGTGGTGAAAAAGCTCTATTTAAAAAAAACTATTTACACCTCTTTCAAAACTTTTTTATTTTGAAAAAGATTCCAAAAAACTCATATTGTGGATGTTACAAGTCAAAATTCAAATATAGAGAATTTGTCATATAATCTTTCACTACAAATTGCTTCACATCTTGATATAAATGTATGTTTATAAATCACAAAAAGATTATAAAATTTGGAACACATTTAATTTTTTCGATAACAAATAGTAACCGCGATGAAATATATATATATATATATATATATATATATATATATATATATATATATATATATATATATATATATATATATATATATATATATATATATATATATATAAACAAAAAAAAAAAACTTGCAAAACCGACAAACAGAGCTTGTGATTGAAATTTTTCGAAAGCACAAGACATTTATGTGATTAGACATTATAAAAACATAATAATATCATAATTTAAATGTTATTTTGGTATCAATATTCATGGGACCTTAAGTAAAAGCCACCATAAATTATTGTACTATGTTTCTATCAACTGATATAACAGAAGACATGATGAGCCAATATCATTAATATTGTAGAGGACCAAAACTGATTTCTCTTTGTCTAGTTTATAAAGAACTATAAAAACATGAGCTTGTGCGTATAGGAAAAGTCTAATCGCAATTCTAATGTTGAATAGGTTACTAAACGGGTAAAACATATGATCCAAAAGATGCCCATTTTACATGTGATGCTCACATGGGACATGGTTGTTTACTACATCAAGCTATATTTGAGGGGTTCAAATTCAATCTAGCCCATGATGAAATCCAATTTGTAGCCTTAGAAGAACATAAAATCTTGATTCATTCAAGCTCATGTATTTGAATCTTTTATGACTTAAATGTATACTTGTCAAGTGTTTTCCAACATTTCATGTTTTAAACAACACAACTAATTCCAACATAAAGCATCAATGTCAAAATAATAAGTTTAAAAAAAAAAAGTTAAACAAAGTTACAAAGTCATAAACTAAACGATTTACATAACATAATCATCAAGCCTAAGAATTACAAGGCCGCTCGAGCCATATTTATATGCAAGAGCCCGTTTCCAAATCACATCATTTATTCAACACAATTAAACCATCAAATGACGAAACTACCCTTTGGCTCCTAAACCTCTCGATTTAGGCAACCTACTCGCAACCAACGGCTGCACTATACCCTGTGAGTCTCTCCCAAGCCCCATCCCTTCCACAAACCCCATTTTCGCCATCATCTTCGACCCAAACCCTTTCGTATGCTTCTCAAAAGACCCAATCTCTGAATTCCCCGATTTACCCTTCGAACCCGACCCCTGGCCCACACCTCTGTTTAGTCTGTGTGGTGGGGTAGGGGTAGTATATATAGGCTTACCCTCTGACATATTGTTGGTAGGGGTATTTTCGGGAATCTTTGCTCCTAATCCAAGCGATTTGGGCCTTTGGATCGCTTCAATGGGCTCAGATATTCCTCTACCATCTTTCCCTAATCCACCTCCATCTACATACCCCATCTTTGCCATCATCCTTGAACCAAAACCCGTTGTGTGCATCTCAAATGCACCGTAATTTGGGGCCCGCTCAGTTGACTTCGGTCCATGGTCAATGTCAAGGTCAAGGTCAAGGTCAACTACCGTGGGCTCCACGGGCTCAGTTACCATGTTCCCACTTGAAATAAATGACACGGGCTGGGCTGCGTAAGAGCCCGTTTTGTCTTTTTCTCGTCTTTTTTTCTTGCTTGATTCACCGGGGGTTTTGGATTTGGTGGGTCCCGTTGATGGGTTTTTGGTTCTGTTTGAAGGTGTCTTGCTAGCTGGCGTGTTTTTCTCTTCGTTGTTGATTCCCAACATCTGAAGGATGGAAGTTTAGGGGCTAAAATGGAAATTTCGATTGGGATGAAATTAAAGGGAGAAAAGATGTTGTATTTTTGTACCTTTTCTAGACGAAGTTTGTCGGATGATGAAGGCATGCATGTGTGTTGTGTTCGTGTCACTGTTACAAACCTGATGAATAGAATAAATAGCAATCTACTTTCATTTATTTGTTTATTTAAAATATTCGACTTTGAAATATCTACCAATTATATCATTATACTTGCAACTATTTCCCTATTATGACTTTGTAGTTTATTAAATCTACCCAATTATAGCAAAAGGAGTAGATTTTTAAAAGCACAATGGTGAAAAGTAAAGATATGAAAGTAGGATTTTATTATAATATAAAAATAAATGAAAGTGTGTTGCTATTTCTTGCATTACCTTCTTTTTCCTGAACCTTGACTGTTACTTTGTAGACGATAAATTGCAGCTAGCCTTTGAACCTAAGGAATGTAACTCATTTGAATGTATAATATGAATTAATATTTAATTTAATATACATCTCCAAAAGTGTAAGAAATGAGTATATGGTGATTGAATCTTTTGAAAGATGAATAAAAGTCTATTTTTGAAACCTGGGAACAATCACGAGAGTGCATGAGTTGAAGTGACATTATATCACCCTTATTCTGCACCATCTGCACTAGTTTCTGCATATAAGACCAAATAAATGTTGATAGTCTTCGAGTATTTTTATGACTAGAGAGAATTTTTTAAATTGATGGATTTATTTTGTGCTTACAGAATTTATTTTTTCAAGATCAACACCACGATTTATCATTCGATCCCTACGCTTTGAGGCAATCTTATCTTGGCGTATTTTCTTCTTCTCACCTGGAATGACACAGTATTTGTCATTTTTTTATCACATAAAGATGGGAAATTTTCATATTTTATCATATAAATGTGGAATAAACTCGTCATTTATCACATGAAGAATTAAAAAAAATGATCTTTTATAACATAAAGATTAAAAAGTTTCATTTATTCACATAAAAACGGAAAAAAAATCATCTTTTATCACATAAATAGGGAATAACTCGTCTTTTTATCACATAAAGATTAAAAAAATTGATCTTTTATCACATAAAGATTAATAAGTTTCATTTATTCACATTAATACAGGAAAAATTCATCTTTTACCACATAAAGATTGGAAATTTTCATCTTTTATCACATAAATATGGAATAAAGTCTTCTTTTATTACATAAAGATTAAAAAAAATTGATCTTTTATCACATAGAGATTAAAAAGTTTCATTTATTCACAAAAATACGAAAAAAAAATCATCTTTTATCACATAAAGATTGGAAATTTTCATTTTTTATCACATAAGTATGGAATAAACTCGTCTTTTATCAAATAAAGATTAAAAAAATTGATCTTTTATCACATAGAGATTAATAAGTTTCATTTATTCACATAAATACGGAAAAAAAAAAAAAAAAAAAAAAAACCCTTTTATCATATAAAGATGGAAAATTTTCATCTTTATCACATAAAGATCAAAATATTTCGTCTTTCATCAAATGCAAAGATGACTCCATGGAATAATAGATAACTTACCTGAAAATCTGCGGAAATTTTTACTCTTTTCAGCTTTCGATGGCCAGGATTGTGGAACCTTTGCTGCATGCTTCTTTTTTCCATATAAAGATCTCGAATTCTTTACAAGCATAAGGTCATCTACAGCAGACCAATCATCTTTCGCCTTTGGTTGACTTTTCTTCTTTGACCGAGATTTTTTCATGCCATATTCCCTTGATGCTTCCTGAAGTGCAATCCCACTTATACCCTTTACCATTTTATGAAACCTCCCACCACTAACACCACCATCATCATCATCATCATCATCATCATCATCCGAGCTATCATCAAGAACATTGCCCAGCAATTGATCAACATTTGCAACTTTATAACTCCCACCAATCCCTTCAAAGTAATCTTTAGCAATCTCATCATTAATATCAGAATCACTGTTATACGCGCCCTCACTATCAGATGAGTTAGAAGAGTCTTCAGACTCTGAAGACTCTAAGCTTTCATCATCATCATCACCATCACCATCATCATCATCATCATCATCCTCTTCCTCTTCTTCATCAGATATATCATGGGTGTACAATTTCATGCCACCAATTGATAGAAATCCTGAATTTTTCACTGGAGATGATGACAAATCATCCCCATCATCATCCATCATATCAGTTTCCATTTCACATGAGGATGAAGAATCGAAACGTGAACATTCTTGTTTTTCAGTAACTGGAGATGATTCGATGATACTAGGGTTTTCTTCTGGTTCATCATGAAACCCTAACCCTGTATGACTATGAGAACTATCATCCACCTCAAAACTTGCACCATAATCATAAGTGTATTTGACAGTTTGAGAATTGCTAACAGGGGTATTGTCCATGTAAGCAATAATCTTTGATTCCTTGGAATCAAGCAAAACAATAGGCTTTGATTCATCAAACTTGTTATGTCCATCACCACCTTCATCTATAAATGAACTTGCCTGCAAAACCTTAATTTTGTCAAATTGGTAAACAGGAAGATGTTCTTCCAAGCTAGGGTCAAGCACAAAAATTATCATCACCATCATCAATCTTGTTTCCTTTTATAAATTATTACCACTCAGAAAAGAAATTTGACACATAAGCACTCATAATGTACAAGGGCTAATCACTTATTTATGCAACAAAGTGGATTTCTTATCAGTTTATGTAGCCATGTTTCTGTATTTTACTAATTTATGAAACCAATTTTGGTAAAATAATACATAGATTGGTAGCGAATTGAAACATGGCAGCAACATCTGAAAGAGATCGACTAGGTTGCATAAATTGGTAAAAAAAAAATTGTAACTTTATTGCATATTCAAGGATCAGGTCATCTGTACACTTTTTGATCGAATCATATCTCATATTTCGATACTCATTTGGGGTTCTTATGTTAACCCATTGATTTTCAAATCAAAAACTGAAAGAGACTTAATCTGGTTGCATCTCTTACATAATTTTATAGTGGTATTTCTCATATGATTTAATCTGTTTGTTACATTGAATCAAGCATCCACATCATTTCCCGAATCAAGATGAGTCCATATGACCTAAAATCCTAGAGTACGAAGTTGCACAAAGGAAGTGAAATCACATAAAACAACCTAATGTTCAAAAGATAATCATCACCTCAGGATATTTGTAAGCAAAGGCATTCGCTTTTGGCTTACGAGAATCGACTATCCTCGAAGTGGAATTAGTAGGTTTCGATTTACCGCCAGACGTACTACCAATCTCAAATCTCACTGCAGATTTGTTCTTAGATGCATTCAATTTATTCCCAGAACCGCTCGGATGGGTACTTTTCCCTACAAAAAACAAATAAAACAAGCATTAAATTCAAGTATCATCCCAATAAAGCCCTATGGATGTATAAAATGATGATATTGCCTCTGGAAGGGGGTGAAGTGATGAGAGGAGACCAATCGGATAATAAGCCACCCTCCACGAACAAAGATTGTTTGGTGGGTTTTCGAGTTTTCGATTTATTGAATTTTTTCTTAGTACTCCCTCCGGCCATCGTTAATCGATCAAAGAACGCAAGAATCCAATGGATTGTTATTAGGTCTCCTCTGTGTTTTCGTCGGACCAAAATAGAGACGATGGGTCGGGCACTTGGGTTGGTCAAGGTTGTAATTCTGTGTGACGTGGTGCGGGTGCAATTGTGTGCGCTTTTTTCTGCAGAATTATATGATTGGTCCACGTGGTTTCAGGAATGAGATGGGAGAATAACTATGGAAACGTATACACGATTGGTCTGGTGGTTTCAATTCCTTCATTTCCTTTGTATGTTTGGTTCTTTACGTGTAAAAATATATTTATACACTTTTTCCTTTAATTTATTTATTGGATAAGAGATGATTTGGTTTGGGTGGTGGTTTGACACCAAATCATGCCCTGTTGGAACAAACATATGCATGACCATTAGAACAAATATGTACAAGACTATCATAACAAAATTGTCCGAGATGAGATAGGGTTTGTCAAAATTTGAAGGCTGGTTGGATTCAAGATCATGTAGGGTTAGTCGTTGGCGGTCGAATCTACCATAATCGTCTTCTGGGCTTTTAGGGATGTCAACGGGACCAAATAGGATCGGAAGTAGCATTACCTGCCCCTACCCCCAAATTCTTCATGTTCCTCCGACCCGGAATTCTTTCGTTTCCCCACGCCCCAAATTTCAAGATCTAGTTAAAGATCTTCATCCAACTCTGACTAATATGGAACATCATTGTCATCAATACAATGTTCATCAGTTTGAACATCATCATTATGTGGCTCAAAATGTTGAGGAACCGAATCCAAATCAACACGATCATCGGTAGATTGAGGAACTATCTTTGTCTTCTTAATATCTTTTAAACCCTGATCTTCCACAAATACAACATTACGACTCCTTACAAGTTTCTTCAAAATTCGATCATATAGCATGTAAGTGAACTCATCTTGGCCATAACCAAGGAATATATATTGCTTGGTCTTCACATCAAGCTTTGATCTTTCATCTTTGGGAATATGCACAAAAGCTTTGCATCTAAAGAGTCGTAAATGACGATATGAAACATCTTTGCTGCTCCAAACCCTATCAGGAACATCAAAAGACAAATGAACACAAGGAATAAGATTAATAACATCTACTGTCGTATTCAAAGCTTCACACCAAAAGGTATCAGACAACGTTGCATGTGAAAGCAAACACCTAACTCTTTCACCCAATGTTGTATTCATCCGTTGTGCTAAACCATTCAGTTGTGGTGTCCTTGGAGGAGTCTTTTCATGTCGAATAACTTGCTCGCTACAATAAGCATCAAAAGGACCAATGTATTTACCCATATTATATGTCCGAACACACTTCGACTTCTTACCATTTTGTCTCTCAGCTAAGGCATGAAACTGCCTAAACACATCCAATACTTTATTATTAGTCTTCAAAGTATAAACCCGTACCTTCCTTGAATGATCATCGATGAATGTGAAAAAATAAAAGTAACCCCAAAGTGTCTCAGTCTTCATAGGGCCACATACATCGGAATGTACCAGAGCAAGTATATTCTCCTTCCTGGAAGGAGGATGACTCTGAAAGGAAACTCCATTTTGCTTACCTGCCAGAAAATGAGAACATCTCTTCAAATTCACATCATGCGGACATGTCAACACATTTTTCTTGAACAATAAATACATCCCTTTTTCACTCATGTGACCAAGTTCTTATGCCACAAATCAGCATGTCAGAATGTATCGATGCATAGATCGATTGTTTAGAGATATTTGGATGGGCCATGTATAACTTTGAGCTTATTTCACATGTTGCCACGATCAAAGAACCACGAGTGAGTTTCCAAATGCAACCACCAAAGGTATTGTGGTAACCACCATCATCAAGTAAGGCAGCCGAGATTAAACTAAATCTAATATATGGAACATGTTTTACATTGTGTAAAACCAAATCCATCCCAATCTCAAACTTCAAACAAATATATCTGACGCCAACACTCTTTGATAACCCATTATTACCCATGTAACCTCCAAAAATTTCAAACTTTTTCAAACATCCAAAAACACATTTATTACAAATTGTTTTCAAAATAGTTTGTCATCAGAGTAATTCTCAGAAATCATAACACAAAATATGAGGAGGTTCATGATCAAGTCTTCACCTTCCCGCGGTCCTCTGAAGTACTAGAAACCATAAACCAAATTGTAAACCCGAAACTCAGTGAGTTCCCCCAAAATACCCATGCCATATAACAGAACAATATCATAATAAGCAACATGCATATAGAGTCTTCAACATGACTGGATCGCCCCACTGGCTTTCAGCCTATCTGGCCCACTCTCAGAACCTTCAGCATGTTTGGACCGCCTTACCTGGACTTCAGCCTGTCTGGACCATTCTTCGGGCCTTTGGCCTGACTGGTACTCCCCGATGGGACTTTAGTCTATCTGGGCCGCCCTGGGTCTGTTGGCCTAGAGAAAGAAACAAGACCACCTCAACCCACCCACAATCACACAATAATCACATAGATGTCAAATGCTAGCTAGCACATATAATAATCATACAGTCCTATCAGGCCATCAATCATAACATCATCCTATATCCTAGGATACCAATCTAACAGATCATAACCATATAAAAACATCATATCTACTAGGATACCGATCTTAACAGATCACAACAGTAATAAAACGGGATAACAATCCAAAAGTTCGGCCTTGGTGCCTTCGCCCTTGAGTATAGTGAGGAAAACTCACCTCACAAGTAGTCCTGAAATGGACTAAAAGTCTCCGACCGCTGTCTCACTGAAAATCTCAAGCTATCCGAAATAACGAATACTAAGTCAATAGTTGGAACATCAATCTTGACCAAGGGTCAAACATAGGGCAATGGTCCATTTTGCCCTTTCTCTAATTTGGGCCAAGACCCAATTCAAATCCATGATTCAAAAGTTCCAAATATACAAGGCCTATAATTGGCCTAATTTTCCAAATTGGGCCCAACTCTTAAAATGGGGCCTCATCTTAAGGCCCATTTCCAAAATTGGCCCAAAACATTACTATTCATAATTTCCAGCAAGGGCCTAAACCAAACTGGCACAAAGGTGGCCCAAATCTAATGCCTAACTCACGAAAACCCATCAGAGGGCATACGTTGAGCGTACCCCAAGGTTACACAGGGTGTACACAAGCCTTGCATTAACTCAGTATTGGGGCGTATTGCTCTCTATGCGGGGGGTATGCGAGCTGTACCCAAAACCCCCAATAAGTGCTTAATGGCTTAAGCACTTAAGCCCAAATTCCAGATCCATTGATCAAATGTGTCTTAGAACCATAAAGTCTCAAACTTTATGACTTTGAACGTCCATAAAGTCCTTAATGCAAGGTCTTAATCCATTACGACCTTTCTACCATTTGCATGGGACACTTCTAGCCATTGGGACCTCATTTTTAACACTTAGAACCCTTCATAGGGTCTGAAAGGACAACTTAACACGTCCAAAACATAACATGCACAATATTGGGACTTTTTGGGACAAGAATGGTATCATAAAGCTATCAAGGCAAAATCTACATCATACAAGCATAAAGGCAGAAGCTTTTTACCTCATGGAGCTTTTAGAGAACAAGATAATCTCAGATCTTCAAGCTTGCCTTACTTGTCCAACACCTTTATGCAACTTCTTCTTCTTTAACTACTCAAACACACACTCTTTTAGCTCATACACTTAAGGGAGAGGTTAGGGTTTGGGGAAAACGGCTCAAAACTATGGAGGCTGAAATGGTTGAGGGTTATGAGCTCATAAGGATACTTATATACCACCCAAACCCTAAATATTAGGGTTTTTCCCTAACATGAGTACGCCCAGTGTACATAAGTGTATGCCCGGCGTACTAAGGCGCGCCTAGTATGCTCAACATACCCTTATGTACGCTTAGCGTACTCCTCCTGATCCAAAGTTGCAACTTTAGCCATTAGGGCATCTCATGGCTCCACCCTTCCATCCCTAAGGACTAAATACAACAAGGATAATAATAAAGGGAGGATTTGAAAATACGTGCAAATTTCAAGATGTTACAACCCATCTTAACATTCCCAAAATGAACAGGAGTGTAAGATGTATAAAAATCCATTTGTGATGTCACATGACAAGTAGCACCACTATCAACAATGGAACTCGTATCATCATGTGCAAGATTGAACATATCATAATCACAACAAATAAATTACTCTTCGATAGTAGTGTTAATTTCAACAGTGTCATTGCCACCAACATCTTTCTTGTGGTTGTTCTTTTGATTGTTGTAATTTGCCTTTTTGTATTCCCTTTTCAATTGTCGACATAAGCATATTGTGTGCCCTTTTCTACCATGATGATTTCACTTATAGTCAGCAAACTTTCCTTTATACTTACTGTGATGCTTCCCTTTGTTATTCATACCTCTACTTTGACTTATCCCCTTGCTTTTAGTGACCAAGACATCTGAATGCACTACTAGAAAACAACCCTTTAATGATATGTAAACGATGACACACATTGATTTACGATATGCATTTTTTGTGTGTCCTAAAGATAATATTAATTTTCAAAATTTTGAAGGATAGAGGAAACACATTTGTGCGTGCCCTAAAATTAGTGTCAGAAAAGAAAAAAATAAATACGGAGGGCGTCTATCATAAAATGTGTGTCATGTAAGTGTGTCGCTTTATAATTTTTTTTAATAAAACATGCATTTTAAGGGGGGGATGAAATCTTGAAAAATTAAACCCCCGCCTATTCTATTAGAAAAATTAAAACCCCCACCTCTTCGAATTAGCAAGAAAGAAGCCCTAGGGTCTTCGTCTTCACCCACCTTCATCGCCTCCAATGCTTCTCTGTTCATCCAACACAACTCATGATCTCTCCGGAAGAAAACCTCAAACTGCATCCTCCACATGAAAAAAAAAACTCTAATTGGCAGCCGTGTAACATACTTTATCTTCATCTCTCTTCCATTATACTACATAACATTTGTCAAAATGTTAGATAGTGTTCGTAAGGTCAAGTCCTCAGAACAGTGTTTTTATGTTATGTTTCACGACATGCTTATTATCAACTGTTCGGTAGTATGAAATACTTCCTCCTTTTATCAGAATTGTTTGAGGCCATTCTCAACCCATTATGATGAGAGAGCAAAACATTTGGACGATGTCTGTTTTATTCCCTAAGATTTGAACTCCAACAAACTCTACACCATCTTCACTGTTCTCACTCTCTCTAACCCTAACAACATTACCACTCCATCCACCGTTTATCCTAATCTGCACTCATCTCTAGCCATCGAAATAATCTCAAATTAACATTCCGATTTCAAAAAAGAAAGCAGGTTGATTTATGCGGACATGCAGTCAGATTTACAAAAAGAAACAAATCGATCTTGACAAAGCAGGTTTTCCATCTTCAAGAATTTCCCTTATCCTTTTTTCTTCATTTAGATGATTATAAATCTCCATTGTGGCCTTTTCTTTGGGGATGCTGTAATAATTATCCTTCTGGCCTCTGTTGTTGCTCTATCGCACATGTGAATCGTGTTAGGGTTTTGAATTCTTGAAAGATATGTTTAATGAACTTCAATGAAAATTTGAAATTGAATTTTAACTAATTTATTCAAGTTGTTGCATAAGTTGTCTATCCAAATGGATGTTATACAAAAGCATGAAAAAATAAGACTCATTGGGTTAGATCAAATGTTACAAATGATGCTACTGAATCAATTGCAGATGCTGAGAAGTATCTACAAACTCATAGGCCTATTAAAAGGTAACTTATTTTCACTAATCATATGATCTCTAATAGGTTTTAAGGTTGATTTCTATGTTTGACTTTTCTTGACAAACATCATGGTAAATTGTTGGAGGAAGGTGCAAGTAGGTTTCTTCAGAAATGCCTTACTCCTGAAGATGATAAAGAATCTAATAAAGATGTAAATTCGTCATATTTTTATGAATTGTGTTCTTCATCGAGTAAGAACACTTCATTTGGAAGCAAAAATTGGCCTTCTGTATACTTGGCAAGTACCCCACAACAAGCTGCAGAACTAGGACTTAACTTTCCTAGTGTAGATGAGGTAAAATAGTGTTCTTGATTTTAAAATTTCATGTAACTTTTGAAATTAAAAAAAAGGGAAAATTTGTACAGGTTGTTTAAGTATCTAGAGAAGCCATGGACATGCATGCTAGAGCTAAACTTCATGGTTACCTGGAAATGGATGTACTATAATTTGTATAAACAAAATTCATACTTTTTCACCACAAGTAAATCTCATATCTTCATTTTCCATTTGTACATTTTGATTCCATAATCCATTAAATAACTATTTTCCAATTACATTTATTTATTCTATTAACTATTTATTCCTTCAACTAATCCAACTCTTGATCTCTCTCATTAGAACATAAATACCCCATTAGTCTATTTGGACTTTATGTGTCCAAATGAACATAAAGAACTTGTTGATTGATGCAAATAAGTTTCTATTTGTTTTTACATACTTGATTTGCGAAAAGCTATTTCCATTGACAGGTTAAAGAATAAGATAATGTAAATATTAATTGTAAGCTTCTATCTCGTATGGAGCTGGACACATACCGATGGAGTATTAGGCTACAATGTGAGTTGTTTCATTTACTTGCATGACTGATAAACGAATTACAAAAATAATGCAAATTTCCAAACAATTATCAAAGTCTCATTATATTGATGGCCTTTTTTGTAAATATGTCAGGTCCCTACCTTTGCTTCAGCCAGTTGTAGAAGACGGTATATTCAACGATAATTGGCGAATCTGTCAAAGTTCTGTGGAACTTTTGGGTGATCTTTTATTTAAGGTTACTGGGACTTCTGGAAAAGCACTTCTTGTAGGTGGCAATGATAATGAAGGTGTCAGTACTGAAGCACAAATATGTGCAATCATTGAGGTTCTTGGTATAGAGAAGCGTAATGAAGTGCTTGTTGCACTCTATATGGTTCGAACAGATGTCAGCCACTCATTTCGCCAAGTATGATCTTCATATTATCCATCTCAATATTTTGTTTTCATTTCAGTTTGCCAGATATCTGAAATTTATTCTCCCTCTCATATAGTTTGCCTTACATGTGTGGAAGACTATAGTTGTAAATACTCCTAAGACTCTCAAGGAGATAATGTCAGTCTTGATGAATACCCTTATGGGTTCTCTTGCTTCATCATCCTCAGAAAGGCAACAGGTATTTCATTTTTGTTTATATATGTTTCTAAGTTTGTTGCATATTTTGGAAACTAAATTATTGCTTAATATTGTAAAGGTTGCTGGAAGATCATTGGGTGAGCTTGTGCGAAAGCTCAGGGAGAGAGTGCTTCCCTTAGTTATTCCTATATTATCTAAAGGCTTGAAGGACCCTGAATTCTAGTAGACGACAAGTATATTATTTTCTTTTTGTTTTTTTCCTGCTCATTATTTAATTCTTGAATATAATAATTATCAAAAAGCTGAATGTTCCTTGATTTACAAGGTGTCTGCATTTTTTTTTCACTTGCCACCACTGATTATAATTACCCTACTTTTTCATGTTATAACTTTTTTGTATGTTGCTATGAGAAGTGTTGATATAGGATTAAAAGTTTCCATGATTGTTACACATATAAATGTTTTGCATAACTGGAGGCATGAGTTTACAAAATGGAGACTTACAGAATTTAAGCCTATTCATGTCTACATGCTTGAAGATGTCCTAAGTTTTTACTCTTATATATTTTCTTGTGTTTAATGCATTTTGTAATAATTCTATTCATACTCTTTAGTATTTGTTTATTATCAACATTATTCTCTTGGGGACACGTGAAGGAAATACTTTGTGGAAGATTTATTCCCTTTTTGTTACATATGGGTTTAATGAGATTAAGGGGTTGTTTCTTTCTAACTTAATAAGCTTCATGGTTTAAGCAATTAATGTAGACAACTATACATTGTTGTCTTTTTTAACTTAATCTAGACAGAAAGACTTAGTGGGTTAATCAAGAATGTAAGGGTAATATGGTCATTTAGTCTCATTTGGATGGTTTATTTAGTATAGAAAAGAAACAAAACCTTATGTATACAACACTTTTGTCTATACTCCATACAAACATGATCACCCATTTAACCACTTTAGCTATACATGGCTTAATGGGGGAAATGAAACAATTCTTAGGTTTTATGAACACATATACTGAATTTTGTGACCATGTAAATTGATTTTTTTTATGATCAAATTAAACTTATATTTGTAGGGATAAAAGACTTGAGTTGCTAATGATATGGAGAGCTAAATGTGGTGTTTTCTTGATTGGTTATACTAATGCTCAATGGACAACAACCCATCACACACAATTTAACATTTTTACATGGTACATCAGGTGGAAAACCAATGACATGGAGGATTTTTACATGATGTTATTGGATGAAATTGATTGTTTTGGTATAGGTTATATATTTAGGGAAAACTTCTTAATAACAATGTACAATGAAATCCCCTTAATATCAATGTATTAAAATATTTTGACATGATGTTATTGGATGAAATTTATTGTTTTGGTATATATTTGTTTCCATATTTTTTTATTATGCGTAAATGAGTATTGTAAAGCCACGTCGTAAATGCATATCGTAAATGGTCGTTGAAGTTTATGACACACAAATGCGTGCCATCTTCATATATGATAGGGGCTTTAATGATATGCATTGCGTGTCCTAAACGTGCATCGTAAGGGTACAAAACGTAAATGCGTGTCGTCTCCCTTTCTGATAGGGCCTTCCTTGACACGCAATGCATGTTGTAAATGTGCATCATAAGTTTACGATACACAAAAGTGTGTCATCTTCCTTTATGACTGGGCCTTCCTTGACACGCATTGCGTGCCCTAAATGCACTTCATAGTCAATCATGGCACTAAAGCGACTGAGCCAATCTATACCCACACTCACACACACATCCCTCATGGGAATCAGAATCACGTCGATCGGAAAAGATACCCCGAAGATCTCTAACACGCATCCCCGGTAGACTGAAGAAGCGGAGACTGCGTGTTCGTTGGTGATGGAGACTCGCAACAGACACTCTAGCTCTCCCATTGTCAACCTGAACTCCTTACTGAATGATTGAGAATCAAACGAATGACTCGCCCCCGAGTTAAATAATACCAAAGAAGGTAAGGTGTTCACTAAAAATGTATCTAATCACGGGCACAAATACATAGGCATAATACATATATAATCAGTAAGATAAGGGATAGAAACATACTGGCAACCATGACTAGTGCTACCCTAGCCTCCTCTACTGTAAGTAGGAAGGCACATCCTTGAGCCCTCGGGGGCGCGACTTGACCCTGAATCCCGTCAGTAATCCTCAATGTAGCCGACGCTGGAGCCTACGCCGGCCTGGTCGTGAGCTATAGACAACTGGTCTTCATGTGACCAACCTGATGACAATGGTAGTAGATCCTCATATCCTGAGTCGGGGCTGTATGGTGACAATCCTTCGTATAATGCCCCTCCCTGCCTCATTTGCGGCATATGTTGTCGGATCTTCAAACCCCTGAGTGACCCTTCCCACACTTGCCACAAGTGTGGCCTTGTTGTCCCCCTGACCTGGAATCAACGGTCTTAGACCACTTCGGTGCTGGCTGTGACTGTGTCGGGGCCTGCTGTTGCTCCCTCAACTACAACTCATTCTCCAACTCACGTCGCCTAGCACCCTCCTGTAACTCTAGTAAGGTATCACACTGTTGGGTAGCAACAAACCGAAGGATATCAGTCTTAAGCATGCTTAGATAATGTGTCATCTGAGCCTACTCAGAAGCAAACTACAAGCAAAACATCGCCCTCTCTGTGAACATGCAGGTGATCTCTGTCACCGTCTCACCATCCTATCTCAAATCCAGAAACTCCTGAGCTAGCTGCTCCCGCTCGACCCGTGGAATGTAGCGAGCACGGAACATATCCCGAAACTGCTCCCAAGTAACCGCGGCTCTCTAATCATCAGAATACGATCCGGTCATCAATCTCCACTAGTCTGTTGCCCCAAACCTCAACAAGTCCAGGGCATATCTGACCTGCTGGTTAGTAGGACATGAACACATGAAGAAACACCCATCCACGTCAGATAGCCACCACATGGATTTAATGGGGTCCTAAGTCCCATCAAAAGTAGGGGTCTTCATGTTGTCAAAGTCCCGATACTGGAAAGCCCGACTGGCTCCTACCCTTGTCACTGTTATAACCGTTGTGGCTGCTGCGGCAGCCGCCTCAGTGAGGGTTGCATAATCATCATCGAAATACTCTACCATGGCGGTCTTGATAGACCCAAACATCTTCAGTAATTGAGCCCAAAACAATGCAGCCACGTCATCATGTAAGATCTCCCGGATCTTGGCTTCCATCTCGTCTGGCCCCATCTGGCCAATAGTATCGGGCACTGTGGGTGCCTCCTGTTCGCCGTCTCCTAATCTTGAATCGGACCTAGTCACAAATCTTTGAGTAACCACCATACTGAAAAACATACCAGGAAGATATCAGATATTCCATATAATAATACGGGAACCAATCCCCAACAAAGCCCTAGGGGTTGTGACTTCTTTTCTACGCGTATGGGTCATGTGTTTTCATTAGTATTGGCCCATACTACCTTACACACCTACCTATATTTGTCTCAAGTATCATCATAACGCCCTAACACTATATTCAAGCATGGCATGCACTCAATCCTCACTCCTAGAGGAAGGCTAAATATCTCATAACTGGCGGACTCTTTCCAACAACCCATCCATGAAACTTCCACCAACCCTGCAACACTCACGTATGCCAGCCATACATAATGTTGGACCCTATAGACATTCGAATACTCAGTCCTACTCTAAGCAACTACAATAATGATGTTAATCTCATATACGGAAAAACCCTAGGGTATCAGGCATCATATAATCATGCAATTTTATCATGTAATTCCTGAAGATCCCTAGCCTAGTACTAGCATGATGTTCTAACATATCACATAAATCAAATAATTCGTAAGGTATTTTGGGGACTATCCGCAAGCTCCGGTTGATCGTACACTTGCATCCTCATTTATTATTTTGAAAACATTTTAAGTAAATCGTTTTAAAAATCTTGTCCTCAGTTTTAGACTAGAGACACGCGAGTGTTTCCTCTAATTCACTCAAACCAAGGCTCTGATACCAACTTGTAACATCCATAAAAATCATGCCAAATTTAAACTTTTTAAAACATTTTCAAAACCAATGATTATTACAAAACTTGTTTCCAAAATAGTATAATGTCAGAGTATCCCCGAATCAATCATAAGAATCATGAGATATTGTGACATCCCCAAAATCACGGCCAGAAAAGACCGGTTTCATTTATGCTTTTAAAATAATTTCAGAATAAATCCATTGATTTAAAAGAGTTGCGTAATTTGTTCCCAAAACAAAATATGATAAAATAAAGTTTATCAAAGCATTTCATTAAGAGATGCATTTTCATTATATAACAATATTCGGGATGTCATGTTCCGATACATGCTAAAAAGCATAAACGAGATATTACAAGCCATACAACAGTTATATACATATATAGGCTCATAAACAAAACAACTTGATGATTCATCCATCTTATGCCCTCGCGCCACTTCTTGTAATACAAATAAGACTAAGTGGGTCAGGCTTAGGGAGCCTGGTGAGCATATAGGGTTTTCAACACACAATAAATAATTATATTTAATTTCACCAACCAACAATAACCCGATTACCCATTCTCGTTATCCTCACTTTACGTCCCTAAAACAACATCTATTACCAGGGACCTAATCTAGGATTTTCATTGGGACGAACATTACTGCTAAGGGGTTTCCTCAATAATAGATGTCCTAAAGGTAACCATGAGGGGGATAGAGTACACCGATGAACACATTGTTCACAACACCTACAGGTTATGAACCTGCTAGCGTTCCACTGGACTGTATAGAAAGAGTCTGTGGTCATCATCCATTCTCCGCTAGATGACTAGGTCAACAACAACATCGAGGCCTCTCATCTGTTTATCACACATCAACTATCTACCCATGTTCTACCCAAAATATTAGTAGATAAAAATATATATTTTTATACATAGTTTAAAACCTATATAGCATTCTCATTCAATACATATTCCAAACAACAGATGAGACACATACACATAACACATATTTCATAGAGAATAACTCATATCTATGAGATAGAAGAACGTGAATATACACATATAACTACAAAATATACATATAACACGTATTTCGTATAAACTACTTCATAATTATGCATTAGAAGAAAGTAACTACACACTCACTTGATCACAAGATGATCAGACAGCACTACGACTTGTAGAAGTAGTATTCTTCGGTAGATCTGGAAGATCTTCACAAAAATCGAGCTTCTCGAGAGCAGAGCTTCGGCTCGGGAATTGCACTTCTCAGGATCTTCGGGGCTTTGGGACTTGCTTCGGGGCTCGGGAAT